TTTATTTATTCATTTCCATACGTTCAAGGTGATAACAAATTCATTCAATATCATAAATATTCACGAAAGTAGGGAAAAACGAGTATGTAGCTAGCAGCTGAGTTTGAGGGTTCAGTATGCGCTAAGTAGACATAAATACTGGGTTTCGTTATGCCTTTTTCGAAAGGTAGTTTGCTCACAATCATAGAGAATGTGTTACTTTCAGTTCAAAATTACATGGGCAAATGTAGGTTGGGCGTCTCTGAGGCCAGTGGGCGTGGTCGCGACGGAGCCATGACCACGCCCACTGGCCTCGGTGACGCCCAACCTTCATTTTTAGCTACTAAAGAGTGTGGTTTTTGTGTCGCCAACTTTCTTCATTTTGAATGATGAGAGTGAGGCGACAAGAAAAAAGGGGTGTATGACAGGAGAATCATATTTCGCCACGCTGGCAGATGTAGCGAGGACACCGCGCCGCAAGGAACGAGTTCTGCCTAACCATTTGAATTTAAGATTGGCACGCCGTACAGTGACTACCTAGGATGCTAAAGCGTTTTCATGCTCCACATCCTCAACCATGACAGCAATAGACGGTGTAGTAAGTGGTCAGAAACGTGTGGAAAAAGGAAAAAATATGCATACAAGTTCTCACAAGTTCCGCTACTCCAGTCGGGAAATTGACGCACAGCTCGCATTTCCCAGGCTCATCGCGATACGGTACTCCGCGCGTGAAGATGCGGCAAATCACGATTCTCTTGACCGTCTTCCAAGAAAAAGCGCTGATTTTAACAAGTGAGAACTCATGCGACCACTACTTCTTTTGGATTATAGGCATACAAAAGCGGTTCAGCATGAGGTTCTGTGTAATGCATTTTGGACTTTTTTTCTGTTTTTTTTTCTTCACTTTTGTTCACTCGTCATCTTGTAAGTAGTAATTGAAATGCACAAGTTACCATTTTCGAATGCGGGGCGTGCTATTAACCCTGGGACAACCAACGGAGCCAAGACCTATGCCAGCGGAAAAGGTAGACTTATCCCGTAAGGCAGCGTTCAGACTTCGCGACGGCGGCGCTTCGGTCGCGCTTTCGAGTTCGAGCGATCGATCGCGCTAGCGCTCCGAGCGCGCGCTCAACGCGTCCATCCAAAAAAATCCAATGAAAAATTTCAATGCGTTAGAGGTAAGAAAAGCATAACAACTATCAAGCATTAGAAAAAGATTCAAAAAATAGTGGCAGGAAGATGAAAAAAAAACAAGTTAGAAGCTAACGGAGAAAGAAGGAAAAAGTAAGCGAATACGGCTGTGAATTAGCATCCGTCCAGTCGATTTTTGCATTGGAGCGCGATCCAATCAGTCGCGCTACACAATCGTACACTAGCACGAGCGACCAGGGCACAGCGTTCGATGGGGATTCCCTATGGGTCGTATTTGGCCGCCAAAAGGGGGGGGGGTCGTACCAGCCCCTGAAAAAGGGGGGTCGTAAAAGCTCGACCAAAATCCCCATCGAATGCTGTGCCCTGCGAGCGACGCAGTCGTACGCTCGAGCGATCGACGCAGTCGTACGCTAGCGCGATCGATCGCTCGAACGCGCGACCGAAGCGCCGCCGTCGCGAAGTCTGAACGCTGCCTAAAACTTAATAATCTGACTATTATTTTTTTGAGATTTTCGACCTGTTTGCTAAACGTCATTTTCCGTTCACATTAGTCTATTTTACTTGTTTTTTTTGGTTTTGTCCCATTTGCTTCGAGAAACAATGAGAGAACCCATTTCAGATCACTCATGTGCTTACCATATCTGCCGTTGCGGTTCCAATAGAACGGCGGCTACCAAAAATCGACTATCACTTTCTGTTTGCAATGGATCTTCCCAATCAGGACCTTCTAGGTGGAGGACAGATCGCCGAAGGCATAGCCTATATCACACGAGCAGTTCAGTCTGGCGGAAATGTGCTTGTTCACTGGTGAAGGTCCACAGCATTTTCAATAGAACATATAATTGTATCATATTGTTTAAGTGAAGGTCGGTGTGTCACGAAGTGCGACAATAGTTGCTGCTTATGTCATGCAGAAGTTAAGGTATTCACCTGAAAAAGCTGTCGAATACATCAAGATAGCGAGACCATTAGTGTGGTGAGGATCAGTTCTTGTCCTTTTTTGCTTCTAATGTTATTACGGATTCCAAAGCTTTTCCAGCCCTAACGAAGGATTCTTCACCCAACTGCAAATCTTTGAATCGCTTCATTACCAAATCGACGAAGCTTCGTTATCCACAAGCCGTATGTATAAAAATTGGTGTGCATCGTCTGGCAATGTTCCACATAACGGTAGGGACTTATACTGCAATCAAGCCCTTCTTGAAAACAACCTGTACACTCATTTCTATAGGACGCTCCTTCTCTTGCGCGAGGTGAATGGGCTCGCAACTGCAGTAGCGTGCCACTTTCTCGCCTAGTTAGAGATGCACGGGAACTGAGCTGGAGGGTAGTGATACCCGGGGGACGGGCAAGAGAATCGTAAAATCGCCGCTCCGTCGCGCGCGGCAATGAGGCGCGACGTTTCCTTAACTTGCAGTACCCTTTCGATTGGAGCATCGGATTTTATGTAGACAAGGACATGCAGACACTTATGTCTTTTTGGTCATACATTGTCTGTTCTCGACTAACCACCTAAAATCGTCGTCATTAGCGGGCGCGACGTCGCACGCGACGCCCACTGGCGCGGCGAATTACGATTCTCTTGCCACGTACTCGTGTAATCGTGATATGCCGCGCTGGTGGGCGTGACAAGTGACACCGCGCTCAACGGACGAGAAGTCTCGTCTTTGAAGATGAGTGTTGTCATGGTGCATTATTTTCGCTTGAATCAAAATGACTTTCGTTGCTCCGAACGCCAAACGTGTGCAAGGATTTGTGCAGCATCGCCGCATGATACGCCCCACGCCACGGTGCGGCAACTACGATTGTCTTGTCCGTCTCCCATGATACAGGGGTGTTGTTTCCCGACCACCAGCGCTGTCTTCACTTTGCAGCACTTCCGTCGTTACCAAAGTTCCGAAATTCACGCAGAGAATAATCAGAACATAGAAGGGCGCATACAAGTAGTTAGTAGTAGATAGTTTGGCTATGGTTAGGCGTGTGGCTAGCAGTGCGGCAGCGCAAGGAGTCATTAGTCGGCATCCGAGTACCACTATTCTCAAGTCACTGTGCCACGCATTTTCGAGCGGAAAAAAGGGCCGCTACTGCAGCTGCGAATCCATTTACCACGCACATTTCAAGGACTAAGGTTCACGGAAGTAAGTGTACGATTTTGTACAAGACCTCCAATCTTTAGTTAGCAGCGAGCGCGGAAGAGATGTAGTGACAAAAAGAACCTCCTAGCACGTGCACATTGAGTCCAATTTCGGATCAACTCCCGCCTAGACCTGTACCTCTAATGGGTTGGTGGTTGGTACCAAACTTGCGTGTGATTATGAAAACCCTGGCTTGTACAACGGCTGGTCGGTCAAGTCATTGTGTAGATCTCCTTCTCAGAAGGTCACTACTCTTTCTAGTAGAATCAGAATGCGTGGCGTATCACCACCGAATTCTTTACCCTCTTCTTTCTTATCTCAAATCCTCAGCGACATGTGTTTTTTTTGTTCTCGTTGTTTGGTGCACGTGGTAGGCGGCTCCTTGTGCCACTACACTTCTTGGAGTATCGACTTATTCGTTTATTTTTTAATTATTTTGAAATTATAATATCAAACGTTAAATCGGAAATTGAAAAAAAATTGATTTAGAATGTTCAAAGTTAAACACGACATGCTCTGTGCTGGGGATCTGTTCTTCATGTCCATACCTTTCCAAAGAGATTTTGTGTTCTGCCTCCCCTTGTTTCGGAAGTCATACCTAGGAACCTGCATACCTAGGAAGGATCAATGGGAAGAGAAGCAGTACCGAGGGGCCTAAACACTGTGGACGTCTGTTACCGTAAAGGGATAATGCTTCGCAGTCGATCAATCCCTTTGTGGGATGCGGCACGCATTCTACTTCCATTCAGAATCGTAGTGGCTTATTGAATGCGATGTGGCCTATACAATGACTTGCGGGGGCCAGCCGATGTACAAGTCAGTGTTCTTATCCTCCCAGACGAATCTGGTACCAATTTACCGTCCCCGGAGAAGGCTTGGTTGGCCTGGGCGGGAATCGACCCGGGTTTAAACCCCGGACCTAGGAAGTGGTAAACGCGCCACTTGTCACTACACCACCTCCGCCTCAACTTTTACCATATCTCTGTATAATTTTACTATTTTGAGGTGCCGAGCCACAAGCAACTACATTTACTAGAGAAGTTAAACCTGATGACTGCTCAAAAGAACGAGGGAACAAGTACAGGTAACATATTGATAATTAAAGCTTCTGAGGCGGCGATCATGGTTTTTCTATGGAATTTTTGACGTAATTTAATGATTTACCTCAAGGCTACGCTTTCAACAAATCATATGTAGAGATTTAGTTTCACAGCCTCTATGTCATTACTCGACCCTGGCTGGCTCTGTCATTCTTACTTTCTAGTGAAACAGTGAAAAAAAATCCCTGGAATCTGTCCCACCTCACTAGCCACGCCCCTA